TCCTAACCGGATTCTAACACATGCAGCAAGTGCAGTATCCCGTAGGTGGAGCTTGGGCAACGTGCCAAGCTCAGTGGTGGCAGCCCGCAAGAGGGGTTCTCCCGTAGGTACGTTGGTTCGCGACTTAAGGCGTTGCGAGGGGGCCTCGGTGGCATTAGCATGTGCTAATGCGGGGCTGGCATGAAAACCAGCAGAACGATAAAGAGAGGGCTACGGGACAAGCGTCTAAGGTAGCCGGCACACAGAAATGGCAAGCGCCGTAATCCCAAAAAGGTGCATTTGGAATGAGAGTCATCGTTCGAGCATCGAGCATGTCATACGAGCCTCGGAGGCTAGGCTACGGTGAGTCTAATAGCTAGTCTACGCTACTCCAAGTCACTGAGTTACGCGCGTAGACTACTAAGACTACAGTGCAGACTCAAGACATAGTGCACAGTACTGAGTCCACTGATTCGCTACGATTTGCGATAGTCCTAAATCGCGTAGAACGCGGAACACCACCTAAGTAGCCAATCAGAGTGTACCGCTACGGTACCTCGCGACCGGTCATTATTGACTGATGCATATCTAACGGTACGAGGCTCTTTGAGGAAGTTTGAGCCCGTCGCCGAGTCCCGATGAGCTCCACGTCCGCCACAGCTTCGCAGGCCCACCGTCCTGGTAAACGCGGGTCCGGCGTTGCTGCCCGGTACCCGGTACCCGCTCGCAGGCTCGCGGAGGTACCGCTGAACGGTACCGCCTGGTACCGCCGAGTACTACGCGCGCGTGGGCTCGCGGCGAGGCTTCGCGGTTGCCCCGGGCTCGCGTAGGACGCCAGCTACGGTACGTGGTGGTGTTGCCCGCCAGGGTGGCGGTCCCGGGGCACTACAGCTGTACTGCACTATCCCCCCACGGGACCGTTCGCCCCTGAACGGCGTCGATGAAGTGGAAGCTCCGGAGTTGGCGCGAATGGTCGTGGTCGTAGTACGAGTGTTGATGCAAGTGGTGGTGGTGCTTGCGGCTGCGCGGCGGCCGCCGTGATGCGCCATCAAGAAGGCTGCGCCAGTGGGGTTGAGCGCCGAGTTATCGTAGATGTACTCGTACTCATCGTAGGGATCGGAATCGTAGTCGTCTGGATTCGCCGGCTGAGGAAGTCGGCTTCGTCCACGGCTTGGTCGAACGTGGCCGGCAGACGAGTGTTGAGCTGAGACTTCAACGGCTCCGCCAGCGAGTTGATGAAGATGGTGATCTTGACGTTCTCGTCCACCACGTTTGCATCGAAGATGCGGTCGCGAAGTCGTTGGCCGAAGTTCAGCAGGCTCTCCGATTCGCCGACCTTCATGTTGCGCAGCTCGAAGTAGCTTCGCGATGAGTCGATGGTTCCGTAGCGCTGAAGAAACAGTCGCTTGAACGCCTCTTAGTCGTTCGCCAAACTTGCACCGCCCGTGCGCCGGCAGAAGCTGGCGTCCTCCGTGAAAAACCAACTCAAGGCGTCCCCTCCAAGATTCGCCATGGCGATGTTGACAAGTTGGGCGTTCGCGACGCCGGGGGTGGTGCGCCGAATCATCTCGATCTTCGCAATGAAGCGTCGCGCACGGTGGCCTTCGTCTTTTGGCGTCCCTCGAAATGGTCGACCAAATTTCGCCGGTCGAAACGCTGGAGGCGAAGTCGTGCTGTCTTTGTTGGTGAGGTTGGGCGCCGGTGGCGGTGCTGAAACTTTCGTGGGCGCAACAGTGGAGCCTCCAACGGGGGCTCCAAAGGTCGCGTAGAAGCGAGGAAGGTCGCCAGTAAAGTGCCCAGGATCCGCAGGAAACGCCGAAGGGTCGCCAGGGTGAAGCTCACGGTCCATCGAAAACGCAGGTGGGCCTCTGGCGGGGTCGCCTGAAGTGGCGGCGAAGGTAGGGCGGCCATCGTAGGACACTTCTAGAGCGGCTTCGCGAGCTCCTAAAGCGAGTACGCCAGCCGAGGAGCCTCCGAAACGGAGCTCTGATGCACGGACGCCATCGTGGGGACCATCGTGGGGCGCTCCTGAGGTCAAAACGCGAGTCTCGCAAGTGGCGGCGTCGAGAGGAGGGGTCCCGAGATGATGTTCTCATGCAGGGACGTCGGCGGGACGAGTCTCGTCACGGAGCGCTTCTGGCGCGAGTTGAACGCAAGCTTCTGGGTTGCGTTCGCGAGTGGGAGGGCTGCCGAGATGGACGCCAGATGGATGAACGGAGATGCTGAGACTGACAGGACGCCGTTCGCCAGCAGGACGACCATCGTAGGGCTCTCCAGGTGAAGCGG